CCACTGCTGGACACCAGTTTTTACCCCAAACCCCCCCCAGCCCTCCCCCCAGGCCCCTTGCTGGAAATGCTCTAAGGGAGGGGGGTTTGGCAACTTAAGACTAAAGTGACAGTTCCACTTAAAATACTGGAAAAGAAGAGAGCACTAGGATTAGAAAAATATGAGAAAGTTGAAGCTAGTGAAGAAGTACGTTAAAGTAGTAAAATAAATAATTTATTAGGGTAATTAGCACAGCAAGTTGACACGTTCCTCCTAATTTGATAACAGAAACACAAAGTCAATATGGATTCCACCAACTAATTAATTTAACTAAGTTAAATACAAGAATCTAAAGGGCGCTTGTTTTAGTTTTACTCTCCCCAGCCCCCACCACCACGGGTCTCTCTTTCTGTTAACTTTCGTTGTTTTGTTATTGGGAGTTTGTTGTTATTATTATTCCTACTATGAGTGATTGATTATGGTGAGAGGTTATAACGAAGGTATCATTAATAATCATCCAGTACAGTGCAGAGTTATTATTGGACGGTTGAATTCAACCCCTCGTTATAGCCAGTTCGAACTGTAAAAAAGGACTAAGCCCAAGAACAACACTCATTGCGGCGCTTGACAGTACGTAGCGCAACTCAGTCTTAAGACTTTGGGGCCCGAAACCCAAGCTTCATATATATATATATATATATATATATTTGTTGAAACAAGCTTCATATTTCGAAGGCTTGGCAGAATGCTAAAACGTAAAACCCCATGAGAAGAATTACAAGAAAATGCTTTAAAAAACTCATTAAATCAGAAAGTGGAACATCTTTTGTAACAGATAAATTTACACAGCAGCAGAGATAATCAAGCACAGGTGCAAAGCAGACAGAGATTAATAATACGAAACGAACAACATGTACCAACTAGAAATGAAGCATCAAAGTATTAGACAATGACTGAAGAAAATACAAGAAAAACCCCAACTTAAGGAGCAGCAAAGGCATCATCGACCCCCTTGTTCTTGTTGGAATCCCACATCGGTGGGGTGAAAGAAAACAAATGGGTTTAAATAGAATTACCACACTCTAACTAATACCGAGGCCTTTTTTATAATAAAAACCCCACACCTGACGGATTGGGCGGGTGGTAAAGTGGGGACAGTATCGGTGTTGTTAGAGTGGGACCCAACGGGCAGATCCAAATTTTCAACAGTTCTCATGGACAGGGGGGGAGAAGGGAGAGCTGATCAGCAGGGCTTGCAGAGCGGCGCGCACTCTGTTGACACGCTTGCGCTGTCTGATACGCCGCAAAACCACATCTTTGTCTAAGGGTTGGGAGGTGTGGGTGGGTTTTATATGCACATGGCTGCTCACGTAATTACTATGGCCATGGTGGGTTGCTGCTGGGTCTTCTTGCTCTTCCTTCAAACTGATGCTTGCGATGCTCAAACTTTCTTCTGGTGCGGAGGATTTGAAGGAAGAGGAGGTCCAGGAGGACATTGTTTGGATTTGAAGTATTAACTTTTAGCCAAGTGATGACGAGAAGAAGCTAGGAATGAAAAGGAACAACTAACTAGCTCAAGAGGTGAGTGAGTGAGTGATTGAGAGAGAGTATTTATAATTATAAATTGAAGGGAAAGATGTGGATTTTGGAGCGAGTGTAAAAGTTTGGTCGGTGAATTGATATATTCGAGACTGCATCGATCAGAGTTTCGGACAGACACCCACAGAGACAGCAAAATCTATGGCTTCTTCTTCTCTAACAGGGTCGGTGACTGCCTTTTTCAGTATAAATATATAGAGGACATGCATGCTCTGTTCTGCTGCTGCAACATTGCTCTCTGTACTTAAAAAAGCCACTTCTGGAACCCAACTGAACTGATCTAGTAAATCACATTATTTAAAGCATGAGCGAATAGAAACAGAGCGTACATATCACATCATCTTTGAGTTTTTAATGGGACACACACGGCTAGCTTTCGATCCAAAAAAAAAAAAAAACACACGGCTAGCTAGTAGCTAGAGTAGTGGGTTCTTCTGTCAATCTGAAATCACTTTTCTCAAGGATTAGATTCCGGATGCAGCACCCAATGTCAGATCAACTGATTAGGTTCATCCACTTAAATAATTAAATTAGTCTTAGATTGGGCTCCGGCACTTAACAAACAGCCCGCCATTTCACAGGCAAAGCCCTTGAATATTAGATTGTGGTCGAAAGGACCCAAATTGTAATATCATATGGATCATCTTACATAGGCCCACTACACGAGATTATTTCCATACCCCAAAAAAAAAAAGAAAAAAAAAAGTTTTAGTTAGTTTGGAAAATTATGTAATATTTTTTGAACGAACTTTCCTATTGAATGCTATTATTCAAACTCATGACCTTTTTGAAGGAAGTATTTGCTCTAAACTACTACATTAGTGGATCGCTTGCAGAAATATACGTACAATTAGGTTAAGAGTTAGTTGGTAGTTGAGTTATATGATTTAAAACATGAACCTTTGCATACACTTAAACACGAATCATAAAAAATAAGAACCAAACAAGAAACCATGTGATTCCAATATCTACTATGTACGTGCGTCCCACTACCACTAGAGATTTACAACAATAATAAAGTCCAAAAGAACAACGCATATGGCTTAAAATTTTACAATGCACGCTTTGTCGCTTTAGTTAAATTGTGTAATTAGAAAGACATCGTTTAATTAATTTGTGTCTAATTAAAAAGTCACCTTTCTCCGTTCTTTTTTTAATTGATAATTTAGATTGTAAAGAGAAGAAGACGAATTGAAATCGTGATTGATGACTAAAACATGTGGCTTCACTTACACCGCACTGCACTGCACTGCCAAAATAGGCAATCAAACTGGCTGCACCATACACACTATACTCTATGCTTTATAGCGTCATGCTCGGAAGGAAGTGCCAGATACGTGGCCTCCCTACATTAGTCGCCAAGTGGTCCTGCATGCTTCATGTGACAGAACAACAATAACAATAACCGTGTACGTGGCGGCTGGGAAGGCGACCTTCGTACTTGGTCACACACGTGTCCAACTGTAAGTGGCGGTCCCATAGGGAAGATTCTTCGACACAGTTTCAGAGTAGGAGGTCGGCCTTTTTCGGTCGGGTCTAATCATTTTCCTATCTGGGTAAAAAACCAACCAGTTCCATGAATTCGACACCGAGTAACGGCCTCTAACGGAAAAAAGAGAGCAACGGTTTTCTTTCCCAAGATTAAGAAATTGCCAGATTCGTCAGTATTTTCTTTACAAAAGGCTCTTGGCGGTTTGCCATTGTTAGAAAACTATATCTTCTTGTATTGCTTTCATTTGTTTGGTTTCTTTTAAATTGTTTTATTATTAACTGATCATCTTGTCGTCACCTTCCACTTGACTTCATATTGGCAAAATAAAATGCTGCTTTAACCCACCATCCGTATTTTTTCAATCATGGAGCAAGGACGTCGCCGCTCCAATGATTCGACACACTTAAAACCCTAGCGAGGGAAGCCTAAAGCTATTTGTTTTTTCTCTGCTTGTTGTCCCTCTAATTTTTTATCCCACGTTTTGGGAACCCAGAAAAAAGAACAAAACATCTCTATTTAAACCAATTTCCTCTATACATTAATTTCAAATTTTAATTTATAAGGTGAGTGTCATCGCCCTAAAAACGGGGGCAATGTGGCTGCGACGTTAAGTTTTCAACTTATAAGATCAAATAGCTACATTGGGAACAATTTGGGCAATGGGAGGAGAGAAAAAGTGTACTTACCAATAGCACAAAATAATTGTTCATCATTTAACATGGTTTCTTTTTGTTATGCTAAAATGGCTAAAGGCAGTGACTTTTCTTTTGTTACAACTTACACCGTCCACGTTCATGCAAAATGGAGAAAGGGAGGATATCACTACACTACGCTACTGCGGCCTGCGATAGTGAGTGTGTCTTTTAACTTTGAACTAAAGGGAATAAGTCCACTTCGCTACGCTGACGTTAATTATAACAGGCAGCACCACCCACTGCAAAATAATATTGCACCTTTCATGGTCGGTAGTAAAAGTAGGACATACATACATGCAATTTTAAAGGACAGTATGTGGCATGTTTTTCACCACCAAATTATATGATTCTATTCCATGAAGCACCTCTTACACTATTATTCATTTTAACTTTGAAAATAAACAGAAATCATCCTAGTGACACGAAACCAAAGGGCTAAACTCTTTTAATTGCGTGAAATTTTTTTACAGTGGACTCACCATATCTATATCGATATCACTTTTACACAAAGATTCAAAGTTATGAAAAATCAGTCCAAAATTTAGTGATTTCCTATTCTATTTCTAAGTATACGATAATATGCATAGCTAATAATAAATTCTATAATTTCACCTCAAGCATTTAAATTTTCTTCCATTATTGTTTGTTTGTTTGTTTTTTTTTTGTCAAGAAAAGTTTAGGGGGGAAGGGAGGTTACCCCATCTTAAGGTCATGGCATACCAAAGTCTCTTTGAGGACTTACAGAGGGGGCCTTAACTTCTTTTTTTATTTTTACAGAGTACCTACCAAAGGGGATTTTCGTCAGTAGAACTCGAACCTAGGTCTTGGTAGTTTTTATTTTTTTTTCTCTCACAAGTAGAAAGATGGAGTTTTCTTAATTAAGAAAAAAGCATATCCAATCAACAACCATTTAGTTTGGATTGAGACCAATTAGCAAAGGGTAGTATTAGCTCACCAAACCTTAAACCTAAATAAATACTAGTAAAAATAGTAACTCCAACTCCAACCGTAGAATCATCACAGCCAATCACACTTACAAAACGAACCTACACGCCATTTTCAGCATCCGACCCGGATTCTCCGGACCCGAAATTCACTCATCACGCAACCCTCACGTTCCTTGCCCACCACGTGTCAAAATCTTAGGGGCCCCCTTATTCCAACCTTTTACATATATATATAGTCCCCGCGGTCTCATCTCCCGCCTTCTGTTGTTCATTTCGTAAAAAGCCCACATCCTTCATTTTGCAAGCAGTTTCGCCACCTCCCTCTATTTTCTCCTCACCATTAATTAACATCCGCATCTCCTAAAATCTTCTTCGAACCTTCAAAAAAATCAATTGGTGAATGAATGGTATCATTATTAATTAACTTAACACACAACTAATCATAATCAGAGATTAAAGCCACGTCCGTCCATCGACACAAATGAAGGACGACGAGAGAGGAGGCGGGATGTTCGCCGACGCAGAAACCATACCCAGGGGCAAATTCGGAAACCTCGCGCATTCTGATCCCAACATTTCCTCCACTATGGCCTCCGACATCAACGACTACTCGATGCGCAACAGCAGCGCCTCCGCCATCAGTCCCGCCTGCTCCCTCGACCCCAACCGCATGAGCGGCGAGTGCTCGCCCATAACCATGTCTCCCTGGAACCAGACCAGCTCTTCTCCCTTTGCCAAGTCACCGTGGCAGCCGTTCGAAGACAACAACGGCCCCCAGAACGGCCTCATCGGCTCTCTGGTCCGCGAAGAAGGCCACATCTACTCTCTGGCCGCCTCCGGAGATCTCTTGTACACCGGCTCGGACAGCAAGAACATCCGTGTCTGGAAGAATCTGAAAGAGTTCAGCGGCTTCAAATCAAACAGCGGCCTCGTCAAAGCCATTGTCATTTCCGGAGATAAGCTCTTCACGGGTCACCAAGACGGAAAAATTCGGGTCTGGCGGGTCTCTTCCAAGGATCCGAGCGTCCACAAGCGCGCCGGGACTTTACCCACCATGATGGATATTTTCAAATATTCGGTAAAACCCAGCAATTACATTCAGGTCAGAAGACAGAAAACCCTCTGGATCAAGCACTCCGACGCCGTTTCGTGCTTGAGCTTGAGCGAGGACAAGAAGCTTCTCTACTCCGCGTCCTGGGACCGCACTCTAAAAGTCTGGCGAATCGACACGTCCAAGTGCTTGGAGTCCATCCACGCCCACGACGACGCCGTCAACTCGGTCGTTGCCAGCGTGGAGGGGTTGGTGTACACCGGGGCGGCGGACGGGACGGTCAAAGTGTGGAAGAGAGAGCAGACCGGGAAGATCATCAAGCATTCGCTGGTGCAGGCACTGCTGAAGCAAGAGAGCGCGGTGACGGCGCTGGCCGTCAACGCCTCGGGATCGATTGTGTACTGCGGGTCCTCCGACGGGCTCGTCAATTTTTGGCAGCGCGAGAAGCAATTGTCGCACGGTGGGGTCCTCAAGGGTCACAAGCTGGCGGTTTTGTGTTTGGCGGCG